TTTTTTTTTTTGTTTGGGACAAAAACTCCAGTCTATTAGTGGGGAGCACCACGTGCTGGGAACCGGGCCCAGCCTCCCATATAGAGTTACACAAGTCATTTGAGATACAGGGGCCATTACCCTGCTTCGGCTGAGAATCAATCTGAAAACTGTTGAAAAAATTCAAGAGAATTAAAGAGAGGTTGAAAAACTACGAATGACTACTGACCTCTTTTCGAATCCTCAGAACCCCTAGACTCCCAAACAAAACTCTCTAAAGCTATCCAACACTGTCTTATTCCCTGTCGAGCTCTCCCAGGCCTCACACTCCCACCCAGCTAGGTTACAGAGCAACACGACTCGCCCCAGCTCCGGCCAGCGTCGTCCCAATAGCAACCCTTGGTTGTCCCATTCTTAGCAGAGTTTTTGAATTTCCAGATCTGGCAAGGACTGTGAGTGCCCTTTTTTTTCTTTTTTTTTTACAAAAGAAACTTCGTATGTGGGAAACCCACTTGATGAGGTGATAAGAGCAGCCCCGTGAAGTGGGCCCCAGCGTTGAAGGCTCCATCTATTGGTGGGGAGCTACACCTGCTGGAAATCGGGTCCAGCGTCCCTATACAATGATATGATGAGTATCAGCTGGAAACCGGGTCCAGCGTCCCTGTACAATGATATATCATGGAGATGCCGTACTGCAAAGATGTCATAGAGTTGGACCCCACAGAAATGCGGAAAGGAAGAATGTTTCTGCAAAACTGTTTCCGGGACCCCACAGGCAGTGGAAGACCTTCTGGCAAAAGCGAAATGTCTTCCAAATACTGGTTTCCGGAACCCGACAACCCGCAATTTATAACGTGGAAGAACACATATGGCCGTTTTCACATCGTCCGTGGCGTGGAAAAGTGGCTCTGGAGGACATCTCGCCGCGATTTTGTGCCGAAAGTTGAGAGAGAGGTCACGCCCACCGTTTGAACCAGCAAGTTTCCTCCCCCTTGGCCTACCCCGGTCCTGGAGCCCTGCGTCACCCGCATGAGGCGGCACAGTCATTCCTTGGGTGCAACATTCGGCCACTTTCCTTTTCGGGGTGCTGAACGGGGACCGTTCCTATTATGGAATATCACTTGTGCACTTTGCCGCAAAACGCAGTCTGCTATGGGGTCCCGACAAAACAGTTTCCAACCTTTCCAAAATTGTTCGGCCGCTTTTTATGGCCAGACGTCTTTTCCATCGTTTTTCCTGTGGGGTCCAACTCTATTATGGAATATCACTTGTGCACTTTGCCGCAAAACACAATCTGCTATGGGGTCCCGGCAAAACAGTTTCCAACCTTTCCAAAATTGTTCACCCGCTTTTTATGGCCAGACGTCTTTCCATCGTTTTTCCTGTGGGGTCCAACTCATACTATGCATCCAATACTGTATGAATGTGTTCGTAGAATCTGTATTTGATTGTACGAAACCAAAGTCCCAGTCCACCGTATCTAAAACATCTTCCCAATCTATTTCATCTTTCTTGGTAGTACGCATCTATCTCATCCTCTTACTAGTCTATTTGTAGTACGGGGGAACACCAACCAACCCGGATCTCTCCCCAGCCCACGGGGGAAGGTTTGCACCACAGCTGTGGTGCGAGAGCAAGGCTGTACCAGTCCCTCATCACGGTGACGAGGGGTGGGCAGGCATTGCCAATGGGGGAAATCGGCGGTGCTAGCGCCGAGCAATGGCCAGTCACTGCACCTCCCCCTACCCCCCCCCAATCCCACATGGCGGTGTCTAATGGCCAATATTGTCGCTGCATAGCAGCCAACAACATCAGCCAAGGTCCTGCCAATGCTGGCTTGGGGGGCCAACGGGTTATCTCTAGCTGGTAGAACACCAGGCTTGCCCTGGCACGTACGTGAGGCCAATGGGGATTGAACCCACGACCTCCTGAATGCAACTTCTGTGCCTTACCAACTGAGCTAGGCCCGAAGAATATAGATTACTTAAAAAAAAAAAAAAAAAGCAGAGGCATTGATAACTTCCCAGCACCAGGGAAGGCTTGACCTCCTGCCCTAGTATTCTAAGCCTAAGGAAAAGCAGTTTCATCGACGTCCCCAGTGACCCGTCCTAATGTAATACACATCAACTTGAAGGGGAGTGTCAGCCAATCAATCTTTCGCTATATATGTGATTGGAGGGGCTGATGCTATCTACAAGAAGACGTGAACGATTACGATGAGTGTATGAACCATTTTGAATGCACTAAAGAGAACAACCCTATCAACACAGCGATTTGTACCCGGAGCAAACTACC